GGGAAGTATTTGGGCTTGTATTTTTGGTATGATTTCTCTGTTCCCACATAAAGGGGCAAGCTGACTGAGTTGACCAAGGGAAGGGATAAAACAGATAATCAATTGTCTCAAATTTCTATCATACAATTCTGAAGTCAGTTGCCTTATTTCTCAGTTGTGACGGTGTCATATTTTATCTCTAATTGAGGCAAGTTTAAGCCATACACACTTATTGACAGTATTTATGTGTGTGGTGGACTTCTGTTCATCCTGTGGTGTAGTTTTCTGTTACTTTGTTTTACCTCTTGAGCCATTGTGGCTTCTGAGCTCTGAGCTTTAGCTTTTGGATAGTTTTACACTGGTGGGTGTCTACCATGCTGATCATCATATAATGCAGGTCTGGTCTTCTCAGATTCCCTCAGTGATTGCTTGTCTGAGAAAGTCTTTATTTCTCCCTCATGTAAGAAACTTAGTTTTGCAGGATACAAGCTAGACTGACTTTTATCCTGTTTTAGAATTCTGAGGCAAGATCCCTCCTCCCATTCTGGTTTGTAGAGTTTCAGTCTAGAAGTCAGTAGTTAATATGAACGGTTTTCCTTTGTAAGTTACCTCCTGTTTTTGCCTGACTGTGCTCATAGGAGTGCCTCCTTGGGGTTTATTTTGGCCTTCCTAATGATTATGTGTCATGGGAAGTACCTCTTTCCGATGAGTCTCGCAGGAGTCTTGTGGGACTCTTGTACCTGGATATCTAGTTTTCTAGCCAGGCCTGGAAATTTTCCTCAATAATTCTCTCAAATAAATTATCTAACCCCCGTGAACTTTCTTCTTTATCCTCAGGGATGCCTACAATGGTTATGTTTGGTCTGTGTACACAGTTCTACATTTCCTGGAGACTTTATTCGTTCCTCTTGCTTCTCTGGTCATTCTCTTCAACTGACTTGTTTGGCACAAAGGTATTACCTTCAGCTTTGAGAGTCTTCTTTGGCTTGATTGAGCCTATTCTTCAGGCTTTCCACTGTGCTGTGTAATTCCTGGAATGGATTTTTCATTTCCAGAAAAATCTGTTTGGTTTTTCATTAATACTTCAAAGTCTTTATCCATTTTTGTATTGTCTTTTTGGTTCCTTGTGTTGGGTTTCCATTTTATCTTGTACTTCCATGAACTCACTTATAAACACTATTCAAAATTCATCACCTGTCATTGTAATCTTTTTATTTAGGCTGGCATCACTCGTAAAGAGTTCCTGTTTTCTTTGATACAACCGTAAACATAAGTCTTCCTGCTTGAGGACGGAGGTTTTCTTTAGGGGGTGTCCTATCACCTTGGTTTTTCATATTTCCTGAGTTTTGCTGCTGGTTTCTTCTCATTTGGCCTCTCTGTTGAGAGTTGAGGATGTTGGAACTGGCTTATGGGCTTGTCAGGGAGACATGGAGGATCAGTTCCTGACTGTGTCAGGGAGAAGAGTACTGGTCCTGAGGTGCCTCTCAGGTTACCCCTGACCTGCTCTCTTCACTTCTTACTGACAAAGTATAGTGAGTTTGGTTCCCAGCTTACCCTTGTTTACTATGGGGGTGGCAGGTTGTACTCGTGCTTATGAGTCAGCCACACCCTGTTAGCTTTAACTGGAAGATGCTTTAATGTCCTACATAGTTGTTCTCCAAGTGACTGGATGGTGATTGCATGAGTTGGCTGCCAAGATGTTCTTTTGTGTAGTAGACTGTGGTCCTCTAGATAGAGTACTAGAGTGCTGCAAGCCTTAGGAGGGACTGTGTAGCTCTCAGGTGGTTTCTTGAGCTCCACTGCCAAAACAATGGGGGAGGGGCAAGGCAATTTATGGCTAGTTTGTGCCCAGCCAGTGAATTGTCCCTGTCAGTAGGTGGGGCCTACAAGAAGAAAGAAGCTACAGTGCTGTTTCTGGGACCTGGATTGGCTTAGTCTCTCTGGAGAAGCACTGGGATGCCCCAGGTGGTAGGTGGGGCCCTGGGGCTTCCAGAGGAGTCCTTAGTCTGTGCTGCAGCTGAGGCTGGTGGGGGATGCAGTTGGGCTGGGCCAGCTTGCCCCTTAGGCTCCACAGAAGCTGGCCAGTTAGCTTTTGTGGTAGGGGTTAAAGATCTGCTTCCAGTTTGAGGCTGAAGCTGCCCACCCTGGCAGAGTGTCAGTGTGTGGCAACAGGCACAGCAGAGCCTCTCTCTCCTCCCCACCCTCTGCTCCACAGCCTCCCCTAAAGCAGGGAGACTTGTATTTAGGGTTAGTGATATAACCCTAAATAGTGGGAGGATATCCTGTAGCTCGTATGCAGTGTCAAATAGCAATATACTCAGACTGTACTCTGCAGATCTGAAGAATAAAATACATGACTCTACCACTCTCCCAGAACATGTCTTAACTTCAGACAAATAGTTGGAGATATTATACCCTGGGAAAGGTGGAGACTGGCCTGGCTTGAGCAGGAACCAACTCATATAAGTTTTTGCATCAATTATTTACAAGGCACTTGTTAGACCAGCAAGAGATAGAGTTTGGCTCTTCAAGAGTGCTGATCAGGGAGAGTGGAACCTGGGTCATCACAATGTCCCCAGTGGATCCTAAAATAATATACGAGAGAAAAAATGAGTGTATGTGCAAGCATTATGATCAATTTTTATTTATATTTTAATATTTCTGGCTAATTCAATTTTCTGTACTTTTGATTCATATGCCCAAAAATGTCCAATTTCTAAAGTGATCCTCAAATTTGCAAGGTACAGAGAGATCTCTAGAAGTCCTCTAAACCATCTCCTCTAAACCATTTCTGTGTAGGAATTATCACCAGATGAATGGCCTTGCTCCTTCTGTCACCAGATGAATGGCCCTGCTCCTTCTGGAATCTTCCTCATTCTTTGTTCTAGGCCTAACATGCCCCATCCAGGGGGACCATTCATGCACATCTAACATGTGCACAGAGAACACATGGGAGGCAGTGGGCCCTAGAGCTTCCCTCCCACCCCAGTCTCATTCCTCATCTCCTTACCAGTTACTCAGAGCATTAGCAGCCCCAGGAGCTGAGCAACAATTCTCATTATTATTTGAATAACTAGAGTAAAATTTGCCTCCTTTACAGAAGAATGTACATGTACTTGTAAAACCTCTGAAAATTCCATAGTTAATAAAACTTAGCATTTATTTTCATGATCGTGGATATTCATGTTAACAATTATCTGGCACATTAAGGTGGTCAGCACAGTGTTTCTACTGCTGGACATTGAGCTCGGCTCAAGCCTTTGGGCTGTGTTTGATCTGGGACCAAGACAGTGACTATGTCAGGAAAACATTTGTATGGCAAGTAACAGGCCTGAACAACATCCCCAAATCAAGCTCAGCAGGCAAATGTAAGTGCAGGAATCTAACTTTAACATAGTTGCAAACAATTTTTACTTATCCTTTCACTATATTAATTTATAAAGTCTCTGAAATATTTCCTACATTTAATTTTCAAAGGCATTATCCCATGGGAAAATCGTCATGTTTTTCATAATTCTTATTTCTCCAGTATAAAATCTTTTTCAAATATAGTTTTGCATTCAATAGAAATAAAGGTGGGCATGTTTTCGACATAGGACTTTTCTCATTGGGAAAAGAATTGTCTTTCATTAAAGCAAATCACATTTAAAATGCAGCTGCTTAAAAATATTGTAGATTACCTGTTAATTTGTTAAAACTAAGACTGTCATTCAACATGCCTGAGGTGCTTTTGCTACTTGGCAGGTGTAATCTGCTCACAGGGATCAGCGCTGATGCTGCACTGGCATCCGGACAAACACTGAGTAACAAAGTTTCCTATGAAGGACAATTTATACTATGCGCACCTTTAGGTTTTCCTGTTTATTTTGTCAAGAGAGTGTTTTTATTTGTTTGTCAAATGATTGGTATATATTGTAGACAATTTTCTAATTTTCCTTCTTATTCTATGGCTTAATAGCATTTTCCTGCAATGATCTCAGACTTCCTAGTAATAAGTGAAACCACATTCCAGCACATTCCAACATGATCTCAGACCTGAAAAGTTTTGAGATTTGGAGAAATATAGACCTTACTTGGCATCACCATCATTTCTGGAAACACAATTCCCCAAATCCCTCTTCCCTGTATGGTTTCTTATAGAGTTACTCAATGAAGAGCCCTTCCTTCATATGTGAAAGTCAAAAGACGATGATTACTATTTAGTGACGCTTGTAGGCAGACACCTGGACAAAGCTGAGGAATGGGGGACACTTGGGGGACAAGCTGCACCAGCTGAAAGCAGCAGCAGCCTCCCCTTGGGCTTCCCAGACTGGTCTGAGGACCAAGTGGTTAAGGAGCCCATAACTCCAGTGGCAGATAGACTCTGACTATTGGCAAAGCCCCCAGGATTCTCCTGTGTCTGCTATCAGCATCCCTGACTACTCTAGGTGCAGGTTTCTATTTTTCATTCTGCTTTGCTGTTTTAAACAATTCCAACTTGGAATCTTAAAGTAGCTTCTATTTTGATCTTTGGACCCTGACTGATGCCATAAAACATTTGTCAGGTATCATAATTGCCGTCCGTTCTTAAATCAAGGAAGTCATGGTTACATCTGCACTAGTAAGAGTGAGGAGCAAGAAAGAACTAGAATGCAGAGCACCCTCCCAGGCCCATTCTGTACACAGCAGAATACAGTACTTTTATATGAGTTCTCTTCTGAAGGACCATTCTCTTTCAAATCATCTCCAGATAAAAGATGTAGGAATAATGAATTTTGGATGCTCACCTGTACCCTCCTGAGTGACTAGGAGTATGTGATATGACCTAAGGACCATTCATGTGGGAACTTCACTAACCCTTCATGTACTCAGACCGTAGAGCCCTGCTTGATGCAGGACTTCCCCCTGAGCTGGCAGTGGCGTTAGGACACAGCCTCAGGGCCACTCAGTGACTATCAAGGCTGTGAGTGTTTCCAATACACACATGTGAGTTTCCATCAGGGTTTGTAGCTCAAGGCCAACACCACCAGCCTCCCCCCCCCCCCCAACGTTGGGCGGCGGGGTTGGTTTTTTTGGCGCCGGTTGCTTCTTGTTTTCTTTCTTGTTTTCTTTTTTTCTTGTTGCCCCGTTCCTATTTTTTTTTTTTTTGGGGGGGCAAAAATTTCCCTTTTTTTAATTTTTTTTGGTTTTGGCTTCCTTTTTTTTTCTTTTCTTTTTTTTGGATTTGTTCTTTTTTTTTTCCGTTCCCATTTTGGGTTTCGGAATTCCCTTTTTCTTTCACCTTGCTTTGGCTTGTTCAAGGTTTTTCTACATGACTTTTGATTTTAAAATAGATTTAAAATAGTTAAAATCCAAAAATTGTACAGTTTTCTTTGGGTACTCCCAGAAACAGTGTAAAATGCTGGATCTGTCCCTTATTACAGAGACTTGAGTTAAAAACTGTGGTGTCGAGTGTGAAGGTGGGTAGAGGTGAAGGAATGGAGCCCATACCACTAACCCAATCCAGCTTCATGTGCACTGGTAGCTATTTAACCAAAATGACATGGAAAATATATATTAATTTTCTATTGCTATGAGTCAGCTTCAATGGCAAACCTGTGATGCTGACTTGATTTAATTGAAAAGTAAATGCAGGCCAGGCAAGGAAGATTCGGATGAGCTTTCACTCACTTTTTCTTAAATCCTGTCTGGTTATCAGGGAGCATTTTGACCCCCTCAATTCTCCTTGAGGTTCTGCCAGGGATAGCTGGCCCAGCTGACAGGTCCTGTGTGTGCTGTCTGAGCTGAACCTGGGGCCTCAGGGTCCAGAGGATTCACCTGCAGCTTGTCACCCTGAGTTCCTCACAACTCAGGCTATGGTGCCTACTCACCAGACAAACAACCTGGTGGGCAGCTGGGCCACCCAGCAGGGAGGTTTGTGTTTGGGGCTGTATCACTGTGTGAGGATATTCTAGAGCTTGCAAGCAGTAATAAACCCCAGCATCCTCAGCCTGCACCCTGCTGATCTTCAGGGTGAAATCTGTCCCTGACCCACTGCCACTGAACCGGTCTGGGACTCCAGGGTCCCGGTTGGAAACCCTATAGATCAGGCGCTGTGGAGACTGGCCAGGCTTCTGCAGGAACCAATACAAATAGGTTTTTCCATCACTGTACAGGAGGCTCTTACTAGCCCTGCAGGAGATGGAGGCTGGTTCTCCAGGGGTGACAACCAGGGAGAGTGGAGTCTGGGTCATCACAATATCCCCACTGGATCCTGAAAGAGGGAGAAAGAACTGCAAGGTTATGAAGAAACATTCTTAGACATTTTTCATTCTTTATTCCAGGCTAAATTATTTTTCATGTGTGCGATTTTGTCTCAGACCCTCAAAATATTCAATTTGAAGCAGAACAGAGATTTTCCAGCCATGAGAGAACTTCTAGAAGTTCCCAATATCTTCCCCTCTGTCTGAGTCAGAGTTTTTACCAGAGTTTTCCTAGCTCCTTCTAGAATCTTCCTCACTTTCTCAGATCTGAATCTCATACTCTGCATCCTGGAGGACAAGATGTGCACATCTAACACGTGCACAGAGCACACGTAACAGGCAGTGGATCCCTGAGGTCCTCCTCACCCCACTCCCCTCCTCATCTCCTTCTGTCCTTACCAGGGACCCAGAGCACCAGCAGCCCCAGGAGCTGAGCAGGGAGCCTCATTGTGAGAAGCTGGACTGAGGAGTCCTGATCAGTCAAGGCAAGGTCAGAGCTGAGCTTTTATTTCAGACTCCCAAGGGAAGGTCCTCCCCAGGGGACAGTATGCAAATCCCCTGGTGGGTGCAGTGGTGCTGAAAGAAATAAGAGGTGGGTGGGGCCCTCTCTTGAGCCAACTGATAGGAAATATTATCTCAGTTTAGAAGGAAACTAAAAGAACAAAATCTATTCTGCCTCTGTAGGAGAAAGGACATATTTAATTTTTCCTTCTTTTTCCTTCACTTGTTTTTAGTTCTTCTGCATTTTGCTGGGAAGATTATAATGTCTGAACTGAAGAATTTCCATTTGTCATTGTGTTTTGTAATGTTAAGTGTAATGTGTGTCATTCTGAACTTACTGTGTTTCACCAGAATGTGCTTTATTGAGTTTCTTTCATCGATGCCGCAGTGTATTGTGCTGCATTTGAAAAGTTTTTGCTATCGTTGTTTTCAAATATTTTTCTCATTTCCTTTCTCTCAGGTCTCCTCGTTACTTCCATACACACTGACCTCTAACACTCTGAGGACTTGTTCATTTGCTTTAATCTTTTTTTCTTTAAAATAGATGATTTCTAATGACCTACTGTCAAGCTCACTGCTTCTTTTGCCATAGATGATGGTTTTGTATCTATCTAGTGAATTCCTCCCCTGGGTTCTTGAACTTTTCATTTCCTGAATTGTCATGTTGTCTTTTTTTCATAACTTCTACTTCTGTATTGAAAATCCCTATTTGTTGAATGATATTCTTCGCATTTGCTTTTATTAGCCTTTGATCATAGATCAAAGATTAACAACCATTCTTTAATGTCTATAATTATTTTGAATTCTGTTTCCTATTTAATATTTAAGTACTACTATCACTTCTTTTGTATTATCCTTATTTTTAGCTTATGGTTTGACTTTCTGGGACCTGTCCCTCTATCTGTATTGTTTACTAGTAATCAATGATTTGGGAGGCTTTGCTTAAACATCAGAAGCTCATGATGCTTCTACCAATTCACCTTCATGTGATTTGGCAACTTCATGGAAACTGCAGCAGCTCTTACTTCCTTTCTTCTTACTTATTTACCACTCATCCTTCTTGACCTCTGTGTTAATTCTAATACGTATGCAGAGATTGTCTCATCAACTCTGTGATTCTACCCTTTCCAGGAATCTACATTAGCTTTCAGCTCATCTATCACCTGTCTCACCCTGGGCCATCCCTTGGACTAGCAAAGCTGTGGGCTTTTTCTGTTCCTTTCCTATAGACTTCACCACAGTTAGCTGGAAACACTGACAGATCTTGCTGCTCCCTACTGGAACTCAGGTAGACCCCTCAGCAACAAGCTGCTTGTGTTTGTTGTCATCTCGTGTTGGTCCTACTGCAGTTTTCAGTCCTTGCTCATTGTCCTTTGTTAGAAGGGAGCAACCCCAGGCAAAAGGCCACAAAGTTTCCCCTTTCTTACCCAAATTATAGTACTTATTTAAGAATTAAAACTTCTCAATTTATTCTCTGTTTTAGGTTATTTTCAGAGCCCTGAAATAGTGGTTTTATATATGTTGTTTCATTTCATACACATTGGTTATCTTTCTGAAGAGAGAATGCAACAAACCTTTATGACATTATCATGAGAAGTGTTTTCTAAAGTGAATTTACTGAACATAAGGGCCCCATTGAAAGGGAATGGGGCTGTGGATTAGCATAAATAAATTCTGAGTAGAAAATCCAGTGTCCACACCCTTGAGTTAAGGAGAAACAGAGCTCAAAAGAAGAACTGAACTCTAATGTCTCGATTTCTTATTCTCGGAAGTATCCCCTGGGAATCTCAAACATGTATGTCCTGCCTAAGATTAAGCAAAGAAGTCAATATACTATAGATAATTAGAGGAAATAAAGGATTATACCTGAAGAATTAGTCATTAAGAACTCAGGGTCTATGAAAGACATTTTGGCATTCACCCATAGTCCTAACTACACTGAAGGATTACTTTAGCCCACAAGTCAGATGGCAGCCTGAGATTTCTAACAAGACTTCATTTGTATAAAATAACTACAAATAAGAACTCATATCTGTTCTCATATTTAATTATTCTTATTTTTATATTTCCCCTAATTTAGAAATAATTTTAGTCTTAAAAACGTTTCAGCAATACTAAAGTTTGATCAACATAATTCCACCTTTCCTTAATGGTATATGTTTTAGATATTACATAACCACAGCTTAAACTAACCTTGATGTAGTGGTTTTAAGTACACATATGGATTGCACTGATTTTGTCTCCATGGATGCCTTTTTTCAGGTACAGAATGAAATTACAGTATCCAATATTGCATTCAATCCTCATGTCTTCTTAATCTCCTCTGATCTGTGACAGTTATTCTTTTCTTTTTCTTTCTTTTTTTTTTCTTTTGTAGTTTTTGTCTGGGGCTGCTTTGAACCTGCCACGCTGTCATATGGAGCCAGCACCCTACTCCTTTGAGCCACAGGCACTGCCCAATGTGACAGTTATTGATTCTTTCTTAGTTTTTCGTGACCTTCAGACTTTTCATGTGTACTGATAAATAAATTTTAAGACTTTTTTCCTGATCTTTCCTATTGCTTATATTGAGACAATGTATTTTTGACAAGAATATCACAGAAGAGATAGTCCTGCAGAGTGTCCCAAGGCAGAAATTACACACTTTCAACTCGAGTTATTACTAGTGATGGGGAAGAAATTTGGCCAATGAAAGTCTTTCCATAAGGAAGTCTTGGGCAATAGGAACCCAGAGAGCGTCTTCTGCCTTCCTCCTATCTGGTTGTATGCCCATTTTATTAGGAATCATCTGTTCCTATCTAAGCCTATAATTGCATTTCCTCCTCCCCAGAATTTTGTTCTTTAAACATTGGATGCTTGATCAAAATTATTGAAGTAAAAAACTATGTTTCTTCTTAAATGACAAATGATTCTGTGATGGCCGTTTACATACAAATACTGACAGCCTGGAGGAAGAAGAAGAGAAATTGGATTATAAAAATATGGAAGTTCACTCAACACAGCTTTTCACATTGTCTAGGCCGAGGAGCAGAAGGTCAGACTGAAGACAGCAGAGAACAATTCCAGCTTCGATGTGATTCATAGTCACAAGTGAAAGAATTCTTTCAGAGAAAATGTAGGAATCTGCAGAGAAACTACCAGAACTAATTAGAAAAATACAAAATTATTACAAACCATCTCTGCCTAATTCTCTGCCTTTAAAGACACCTCATGTAATGGAGAGACTCAAAGACCAGGCAAACATGAATTTTGTTGCAGGCCGGATCTACAAATATCAGTTTTAGATTAATTCAACTGTGAAATATTTCCAGAAATGGACCCTGCACACCTGAATGGACCACAGGGAGTGCAGCTGGCTTGGGCCTCATAACCTCACTGCACAACCAGCCTGGGACTCAGGTTTAGACTCAGCAGTATGACACTGGGGGAGGAACTGGAGGGTCCTGCTGGTCCACTGTCCTCACTTGACACCAGTTGTTAGTCTGATCCTCAATGTTAGGGATTAAGGAGGGGTCAAGACTCTTGGCACATTGGATGCTCACAGGTGCCAATAGCCAAGTGAGCTTCCATTAGTTGAAATCCACATTGTTAAGGCCACGCATGGGCCTCCATGGTATTATTTGAGAAGTCTGGCTAAGAGAGCTGGGAGAGGTGATAGCCTTAAGTCTATGTGAGATTTGTTCTTAATTATTAAGAAACTCCTGTTCAACAATAGCCTTTAGATGACTATTTACTTGGGAAGTATTTATTTTTTACCCTGGCTAATTTTGAGAATTGCAGTCATCGTTTTCCAAACATTTTTTGTCTCCCATCTTTCAGCTGTGTTTCTTCTAAGGCCTGATCATCTGCCAGAACCAATACTCTATGAGACTGTGCCACTGAATTGCTTATCACGCTTTGGAGAGTGGCCACGAGGTGTAAGCCTTGTAGACCTCCCACTGTTGTGACTTCTATTTTTCAAATAGAATAAATAAATATCAAGGCAATACTATATCTCCAAATTCACAAATAATTCAAAAACAGAAAGAGACACCTAGGTTAATCTGGAAAATAAGCCTTATTTTGATTTAAATGAATGTATACATAAGCATGCACAGTTAACGATGTATCAAATGTATATACTGTAATGCACCTATATGTGTATTATAAACATATATGCACATTTTCATAAATAAAGTAAATATTGCTCTTTATTCTCAAATATTATTCAGTTGGAACGGATAATATCTTTCTAAATGGATTCTTAAACATTACATTAAGGCCATATTTTTCTATTTGTTAATTTTTATTTTAATTTGGTTTTATTGTTTCAGGTAAAGTGACAGTGTCAAGAATTAGGTTTCAATGTTTGCATTTGTTAAAATCCCTTGTATGGCTATATTTTAATAAAATCCATTTATGTGTATGGCTAGATATTTTATAGGTTAACATTTGCCTATTAGTGATTTTAGACAACTCAGAACTTAGTAGTTTATAACACTAAGCATGCATTCTCATTTTCATGGATTTTCCTGTTAATGATTTGTCAGATGGAGGCAGGGCTCAGCTGGGACTCGATTGCAGGCCACTGAGTTTGTCTCCATTCTATGGATTGTGTCTGATCTGGTGTGAAAGCTGAATGGCAATGAGTACTCAGGACACACCCTCCTCACACTGAGTACAGGAGGGAGCAAAATCCCCACACAAAGTGTCACAGCCAAATATTTGAGCCTTATATTGACAAATAATATTTTCATCTTAATTTTAAATTTTAATTAATTAGAAGACAAAGATGGAGGTAATTTGCAACATGTGACTTTACATGGAAATTTTTTGTTTGTTTTTTTTTATTGTTGGGAACTCATTGTGGGTACAATGAGGGAGGTTACACTGCTTGTGTTGTCTGGGTGATGTCCTTCTAGTAATAGTGTCCTGCCTCTATGTGGAAATTTCTTAAAAGGTCAAACAGGAGGGAAAAAATACATTTGCCTT